GGCTCTGTAATCCGTCATCGCCGCGTCAAGATGCGCATTGAAGAGGGGGGGGGGGGGGGGGGGGCGGTCCCCCTCCCTGAGTCCTCTCTCGGGGGCCCAGGGGTCCGACGGACCGCCTGGCACCCGGGCCCGACACTCGGCGTGGTTGTGTAAGGATTTACAGACTCTGAGCATGCCTTCGGGGCACCCTCGCGCGCTAATAAGGTCCACAGAGCAGGCCTGCAAACGCGGGGGTGGGCTTTTTCTATGTCGAAGAAATCGAAAACCACAACTTCCTCATTCCGGAGGGCTGCGGCTTCCTCCGCCGGGCGGCGGGTGGCCTGTAAGGCGTTGTCAGTGCCCCGGCCGCGCGAATCCCGACTGTGACTCTTCCATTCGTGGCTCGGACCACGCACTCGTGCGAGGCGCTGCCACCCGCGCCGCCGATTTGGGCCCGACGGACAGCAGGGTACTGCCCCGCCACGTACTCTTGTCCTTTCGGGCCCCCTTTCTGCTTCCAGAGTGGAATGACCGACGCTTCTCGCCACTCGCGGGGCCAAGCAGCCGCTTCCTCTCCGCCCCCTGCGGTCGCCGCGCAATTCCAAATTTCCGCGGTGAGATCGAATGCCGCCGCGCGGAACGCCACGCCTCCATATTTGAACGCTTCCGACGCAAATCCGCCCCCCCCGGCTGTCGCCCTGTCTTCATTTCACTCGCGCGCTGGTCTAATTCGATGTCGTTGGGCGGCTCTGCGAGCCACCGTTCGGCGGTGGAAGCGGGGGGGGGTGCTCTGCCGCGCGTGGTCGGCAACCGCCCCAATCGTACCAGAGATCTTTGCAAAATGCTTGCGTCATGCTTCCCTCTCTTTGTCGACATTTCTGTCGACGCGACACCGGAATCCCGACGATCGTGGCGGCGATTCTTTAGCTCGCCGAACAGTCGGAAGAACTCTGATTGATCTCCTATCCTGGCGGCTGCAGACGCTGGCGCGCCGATGTCGGTCCAATACTCTCGCTCCCACCGCCTTAAGGTACGACGCCGATCCCAGGCTACTCTACAACGTTCCGCGAGGGCCGCTGGGGCCCCGGCGTCGTCTGAAAGGGCGTGAGCTACCCTGGCGCGCCCCACGTCCTCGTCGAGGCTATTCTTTCCTCTTGATGGCCCCGTAACCAGGGCACTTGCGCCCGGGCTTGACGTTTTCCGAGTACTTGTAATCCCGCTGCGCGAGCGATGTCGCACAGTTCCTTCCACCCCAAAGGGGCCGCAATATTCTGCGGCATATCCGCCAAGACCTGCCCGTAGTGAGCCCGGGCCTCTTTAGCCGCAGGGGGTGGCCCCCGCGTCGCCGAGTAGTTGGGGGCTGCTGGGCGGCTGTCGGTGCGACGGCCACGAAACAACCATCTACCGCTCACGGTAATTCCCACTTCCACTGGCTTGTGGTCCGTGCGCGCGGACCAAGCCGCGATTCCGCCCTCTCGGACGTTCCGCGCGTCGTCCGAGCGACGGCGTTCTCTGCGTTTTGCCCTCCTTTCCCCCTGTGCCCCCCCCCGGGCCGTAGTGCAAGGTGCGCGCGCGTATCGAAGCTGACTGCGGTCTCTCGGTCGGACCATCACGTGGTCTAGCCGGTGCCAAGAACGATGCCGTGGGTGGAGCCAGGTGCCGGGCAGCCTCTGGGCGAACGCCGTACTTACTACGAACAACGCCTCTTCCTGGCAAAACGCCAGGAGGGCCACGCCCGTTGCCGTCCGACGACGCTCCCCGTGGACCCCCAAAACCGGGGGCCTTCCCACCTCGGCGTTCCAATCGCCACCCACCACGAGGAGATTATCCGTTCCCTGCTCCGTGTCTCCACCCAGCGGACCTCATCGTAGAAACGCTATCGCGCCTCTGATTGTTGAGATCCTGACACCGGTGCGTACACGCATAGCCAGGACAGCCCTCGCCGAAAACCTTTCCGAGGAAAAATCAACCCCATGCACCTGGTGCTTTTGCGCTCGTGCCCACCTCGCACTACAACCTTGGCCACCCCCTCCCTCCAGACCCGTGCTAGCTTCGCGTTCAAAACTATCCCCACGCGGCCGCGGATGATCAAAGTCCACTTCTGTCCTCTGCAGATCTACTCCCGCACGCCGTTGTGAGCAAAGGCCAAATCACTGAGCAGACCATGCGACCACCCTCGGACCGCCAGGAGGGTCAGGATATATACAGGATCTTCATCTCTGGGTCCCCCCCCCCCGAAAGCCCCCAACTTACGAGTGTTCCAAGTGCCCCCAACGAGGGTCTGAGCGCGGGGGCGTCTCTGCTTGCGCAAAATGGATAGGCGATGCCTTGCCTGAGACCTTTTCCGCAATCTACGCTCTTTTTTGCGAGCCTCGCGAGCCGTCCTCCGACGCTCGCATCTCTGCGCCCTCCTATGGGACCTACTCTCTTGGTGGCCCTCAAACTCCTGTCCAACTGATGATTGTGGACGCGGCCGCCCCGACTGACCATGGCCAGAGCCACCGTCAGCCGACGCAGCCGCCCCTCCCCCCAGATACCCTGCCGGCTCGCCGGGGCCAGTGGCTTAGCCGGGATCCCCATTCCCCCTGGCAGCCGAGGAAGGTCCGGAGACCCAGCCGCCCTACCGCCTGATGGCGGGGGTGGGGTGTGTGAAGTCCCGCCCCCAAACGAGTTCCCCGAAGACTCCGGAGACGGCTGAGCGGAGAACCAACCGAGAGACCCACCGCCAGAGATTGACAGCCCGTCCCCAACCAGAGATCCAGAGGGGGCAGCCCAAACGATGCCGAGCGGGAACAGCGCGCGCGCGGCCGTCGTTTGAGCCAAAATGGATGACGATGATGATGATGATGATGATGATGATGATGATGATGATGATGATGATGATGATGATGATGATGATGATGATGATAATAATGATTATGATGACGATGATGATGATGCTGATGATGATGGTGACGATGAGGAGGGTGATGATGATTAGGCTGCTGCTGATGATGATGAGGATGAGGAGGAGAGTAAAAGTGCGTGGACACAACGCGACCCTACCGCAGGTAGGTATTTTGACGGATGGATGCGTAGGGATGTGTATGTAGGTCGGTGATCAGGCAGAACGACGTGCGTATGGATCTCTGCCGCCACGCTCTGCAGCGGTGAGCTGGGGCGTGTCCCTTCTTTTCTCAAAGCATGTTGCTTCTTGCGAGACCGGAGATAGCCCAGCCAGTGCCACAGTGTGGAAGCCCAATGGGCTCCCGAACCACACCACTCAAGCGGCACCGTCCAATCCATGCGCCCACTGACTCCTACCACCCAACGCCGAAGAAACGTCGAAGACACGTCTAAGACGGGATCTAATACAGCCTAACACCGCAACAAGACAAACTTAAGACGACGGTCCGAGACTTGCTCAAGATGGCCTCAAGAGTCCCCGAGACGGTGCGAATACCCTAGTGGGAGCCTCAATCAATACCTCTCCACACAGCCCGAAGCCTAGCCACGATGCCTCAACCGCCCATACCAGGTCCACCATAAGGCCCAATAGGCCCCAAGAGCCTTTGGGAGGACATGAGCAGGGAACATTTGAAAGAAGCAGCACTTGTCGAATAAATGCTTGCCCCGCCTCTTGTGAAAATCCTACGTTGATTACACAAGACATTGCAGTTGATGTCACGGCGCCCCAGACAGCATTTCAATAATCCCAAAAATCTACGATAACCAAAGACGGCACAACATTTTGCCCAATTGTGTTCAAACCTGCTTCCGACCGCGGCCGCCAACTGGTCCGAAACGGGACTGGGACGGCCCGAAGACCTCACCAGGCAGCCTCGAGAACCCCAGTAGAATTTCTCCTTCCCCCCCCACCCCAGACAGACGTCCCAGCATGGCCTGACTTCTATTGAAAAGCTTTCAGATGCACCCCCAAAGTCCCCCTGGGAGGGATGGCGTGTGATCAATCATGACAAGTATCGTTGCCATTCCCGATGCTGGGCACAAACGCCTGGGGTGACACGGTTGCAACGCCCCAGTCTCAGGAGAGGCTTCAAGCGGCACTCGGGCCGCCCCAGGCAGAGTCCCAACGGTTTAGGAGCAAAGTATCGCCAAGACGCCCATCATCATGCATGTGAGGACGCGGCGCGACAGAGCACGGCACGGCGATGCAGGCAGCCCCGTTCCGCCGAATCACGAGTTGGGCCCAGAACGCGCTCACGCCTGGGCCGCCATCACGTGCTGCTTCGGCAATTGCGCCAAGCAGTGCGCCATCAGCCTGCGCCCAATGGCGCGCCGCAAACTTTGCAACAGCTTGTGCCAGATGTTGCGCCATAGGTTGTGCACGGTACGCCCTCCGAATCAAGATTTGGCCCGCGCTGTGTGGCTATCGACAAAAGTGGTACAACAAGCTGGGCCGCACGTTGCGGACGGCACGCCCTCCGAATCATGTTAGCTGCGCCGCGCATTGCACACGCCCTCCGAATCATGGATCGCCCCGCTTTGTCTAAATTGCTCCAGTCGGTTGCGTACGGCACGCTCAACGAATCACGATTTGCCCTGCTGTCTTGGTTGCGCCGTAAATTGCGCACGGCACGCACACCGAATCCCGATGAGTCCGCACGTTGCACCACAAGTTGCGCCGTAACCTGTGCACGGCACGCCCACCAAACCAAGATTTGCCCTGCTTTGTCTGCATTGCAATACGGGTGGCCCACGGCAGGCATTCCTGCGATTGTACTACACCATCGGGCCAGTGTGTGGAGGCGCTACAGTATTGCAGCACTACGTCCACACTGCGCTGTACCAATGGCGCGCAATTTTCAAACCGCGGTGGCGGACATGTGTGGCAACGAATCTGTGCACGTGCAAATGCTATGACTCACTGAATGTTTCGGGCCTCTGCCACCGGCCTCACTGTGGGTCGGTCGGTCACATAAGTCAGAGCCAACAACAGAACACGAATCAGTCGAGGTTGCACGCTAGACACCGACGCGCGGCGACAAGCTATGAGCGTGTGCAAAAAGAGGCTCAAGGTCCTCTTCCTGCCCACCGCCTTCTGCGCCAGCAGCATCACCACGTCCACGCTCCGGCACTGCCCGCGGCGGTGCAGCCGGTCCTCTGCCTGGCTCAGCCAGCACGCGTCTGGGGGGAACTCCGTGAAGATCGCCAGCGAGGCGGCGGAGAGGTCGACGCCGACAGCGCACGCGGTGACGCCTATCACAGCGAGCGCGGCACCATGCTGGTCCCTCTGGCGCAGGCGCGCGATGAGGGTCTGCCGCAAGAGAGGTGGCGTCGAGCCTAGCTGGCTGGCTACGCCAAAAATACTGCTTCCGTCCCCGTCGATGACGCGAAGTAGCTATCATGCGTCCCCTTCTTGCCCAGAGGTTCCCCGATGGTCACCCCGATTGTCTAGAGTGTGCCCTGTACGACTAACAGTTTTTCCGAACTATCAAGCTTTTCAAACGTTTGTTTGCTCGAGGCTGGAAGAGGCTTTTGTAGTTTCCTCGTCGAGCCGTCGATGCGGATGTGCGGCACATCCAGGCTGCCCGCCAAGCTGGACACTCGGTCCAACACGCGGATGTGGTGCGCGAACACGACGATTTTGATGCCGGTCTGGCGGCACTGGCTGATCCGGTCACGCAGCCAGCCCTCGGCGGCCTGCGCCTTCAGCAGCCCGATGCGCTCGTAGTCCGTCAGTGCCGCCGCGTCAGCTTCGGTCAGCCCAGCAGACGCCTCGGATGAGATGGCCAGCCGGAGTACCCTCCTCCGCTTCGGGGGCAACTCCGAGAGCACCTCGCACTTCCGCCGCCGTACCATCACCTGGGCGCTTCCAGGCAGGGAGAAGCTTGGCCGCAAGACCCCAGGAGACTTGGCCAATGTCCCGCGCAAGGTCGCCGATGCCCCCGCCCCCCAAAGCTCGGCTGCACGCAAGAGTGACCCAAGCATGGGTGACCTTTGGTGCGCGGCTTTCGAGTGCCGCGGGTGGGCCAGATCCAGGCGCGTAAGCCAGTGATGGGGGAGACCCGTGAGCCCGCACCACAGCTCACCTCGGCGAGCGGTCACTCTCACGCGCAGCCGAAACAGCAAGCATCACGCTCCCTGCCGTCCCTGGAGCAGGCTTGCCCCTCGGTCACCGCCTCCCGCAGCAAGGACGCGAGCTGCCAGCTCCGGCGGCAGCGCCCCGGCACCAGGTGGCCAGAGGCGGACAGCACTGGCTCGTCGTAGCTTCGCGAGAACTCTCGTAAGGAGGCCCCCAGGAGGCCGGGGCGCAGCAAGTCTACCTGCAGGAAGGCCCAGGCCGGCCAACACCCATCATCACCGCCAGCCTAGCCAGGCTGGAAGCCCCAGGGCCCCGGAGGCCAGGACTGTGCAAACCCAGGCTTTGCCAGATCCAGAGGGAGAAAACGAAGGATGGAGAACGTTTCGACCCACGGCTGCAATTTTCTGGGGCGCGCCATTGTCCTGAACATCCAGCTCCCCGTTTGCGGTGCCTTCAAAAACAGACTCCTGCTTGCAGCCAGGTTCAATCCCCTTAGAAAAAAAACGATATCCTTTTTGGGCCCACACTCAGAGTCATTCCAGCAGGGTCACCCTCACGTGTAGCCGACAGCGGAAGGAGCCTGGGGGCTGCTGTCGATGGCCCACAGCAAGGAATCATTCTGGGGGGCGGCACCTGGTCCGTTCCGCAAGCGCTGAAACAGAACTGTTGAGAACTCTTCGGGGGACAGGTCTTGCTTCAGCCGAGCTTCTGCTGGCGGAGGCGCCCTCGATTTACTGCCGAAGAGGAAGAGATGGCAACCTCTCGATCCCTCGAGGGCGACGCCCTGTCTGGGGCACCGCGCTGGGTGGGTGGGGACGGCAGGAGGGGCTGGCCCTCTCTGCCTTACCCCCCTGGGGACGCCGCCAGCTTTCTGCGCCTGCCGACGCCTGGGCGAAGACGTCCAGGTAGCACGAGGCCGAGGGCGTGCCCGACAGCAGCAACACGCGCGGTACGGGCGCCAACAACGCGAGGCAAGCCCTCGTCGAAGTGCACGGGCGCCCCCCGGCAAACCGGAGCGAGTGCGACTCGTCCACCACGGCCAGGGTCCACCTCGATCGTCGTGGCCATTTTTGGTTGCTTTCGGCCTCCAGGGTCCACGCTACGAAACAGTCACGACGTCGGAGTTCTGACGATGTGTCGGGCGCCGCGGCCGCTGCAGAGCAGAGCGTTCTGGAGCGCTCTGGAGCGATCCATCCTGGCTCTGGGCCCGCCCGGCCGCCTCCTCTCGGAGAGGTTCTCGTGCAGCAGGCGGGCCATCGTCAAGGAGACGATGCAAACGCGAACTTCTCCCAAGCTCCCCGGCTGGCGGCTCTGCGGCAGCATGTCGTTTGACGTGAAGATCACGTGGATATTTCGGGGCCGCAGCAGCTCGGGCAACCACCGCTCCATCTCCTCGGCCCAGGCGAGCCGCATGGAGGCTGGGCAGACGACGAGCACTGGCCACTCCTCTACAAGAACAAGAACCCACTGCATAAACATGTGCACTTTCGGAGGTCCACAGGGATATCTGGGATCGGCGCTGGACCCCCTGGCGGCACCTCCAGCGCTGCCCCTGGCGGGCTGCGCGTGCCAGAGAGGGGCGTCCAGCGCCGGTCATAGAAGTCCGCGGCGCGGACCTCCGAAAGCTCATATGCTTGATGCCGTTCGTTGTCTGCCTGTCCTCGTACGCGGCCAGCACCGCCAGCGCCTGCGGCGTCTTGCCGCAGCCCATCTCGTCCGCCAGCAAGCACCTGCCGCGCAGCTGAAGAACTCTCCGGACCCCGTCTCGTTGGAAGGGCTGCAGCAAGCGGAGCCGCGGCGCCCTCTCCATCGCGCGTGCCAGGAGCTGGTCGACCTCGTCCGGGCAGCCTCGTGGGCCCTGACATCCATCAACTTGATCACCGTTCCTTCCCACCGCCTCCCGCTTGGCGGTGTGGGAGGGGGATCGTGAGAAGACTTGCGGGAGGGGGCCAAGAGGAACAACGTTTTGGCACTTGGCCGAGGTCACTTGAAAATCGGCCCGAGCCCCGTGCTGGCTGCCATCCGAAGAGCTTTTCCGAGCCGAGCCAGGCCGCTGCAACGAAATTCCTCCCCTTGCGGCTGCCAAAAAAAAGTAAGCGTGAAACCCGTGTCTTGGAAGTCTGAAGGACCTGCGTGGGCAAGAGTGCTGCGCTGCGCCGCGAACCTCAAGGCAGGCTCGGGCACGGGGTCCAGGCGCGCTGCCGGGCCACCAGCCTCCTCTGAGAGCCGCAGCACGCCCCTGACGCGCGGCTGGGAGCATCCCTCGACCCCCGAACCGGGTCTTCTCTGATAGCCCATTCCACGTGCCCACCCGACAAACAAATCCACAGCCAAAATACCACCTTCGAGCAACGCCTTGGACGCGCCTCCCTGGAAATCTCACCCGTTTAAAATATATGTGTGCGTGTGTGGGGGGAGCGGGAATGTTCCCGATCGCCCACCTCAGGCGTGAGACGACCGCAGCGTGCTGCTCCACAGGGAACAGGAAGCTAGTGAAGCCCATGTCCGTGCCTCCCACTTCTGCGCTCGGCGCGTCAGCCAGCGCCGTCTGCGGCACGTCGGAGGCGCTCGCTTCTTGCCCAAGGCCCAGGCCTGCGTCGTCGGCGAAGATGCTGGAAGCGCTGTTGCATCAAGCCTAGGCCCGCTCAAGCTCTGGGCTGCCCAGATCAGTCGACGTCGCTGGTTGGAGTGTTGGTCTGCAACTGTCGTCCTGCCAGCCCATCCCATGCCAGCCATGCAAGCGAAGCCCTCGCATGTACCGTTTCTAACATTCCCTCCTCTTCTTGAAGCAGCGGTGATGCAGTCCTGAGCGGTTTTGATGTTTTCCCCAGAAAACGAAGAGATCGCGCCAACTGCTATGATAGAAGCTCTTTCCAAACATGTAGCGCCTACATACAAATGCTCAAGAACTCATGCGAATCATTACGCCGAACCCGATCGGCCCACTTCGGAATGCAAGATATTCTTGGATGATTCCGGGCGATCCTCAAGATGTCCGTAATACTTTTACGAACCTAAAACATCCACAGGAGCCCTGAATACTTTCAAACATCCCACCGGATGTCCATAATCATTAATTATCCCATGGGTGTCCCAATAATTCTTGGGAATTACGACCCAAGAGCCTTTAAGAAATATTTGGGATCCGAAGGAATCTGTAGAATGACCAACAACTGCTGATGCGAATCCGTACGCCGAGCCCTATTCCCTTCTAAAGACTCCTTAGGAATACTACGGAATCCAGGGGAAATCCCATTGCTCCTTTGGAATTATTCATAATCTCATGAACCTTGGGAATCCGCAGGGATCATCCTGAGGATTCGCAGGAATTCTAAGGAACCCCTCGGACTCCAAAGGATCCTCAGGGATCCTTTGGAATTCCAAACGATTCTCCTCCGCACGCACCCTCATGAGGGGAAGGAGCACCAGCGGCAACAGCAGGCAAGGATGATGATGAGGGCGGGACCAAAGAAGGACGATGGACGAGAACGAGTTGGAGGGAGAGGAGGGGGATTCTGAGAAGGAAATGGGGGACGAAAAAGTGAAAGGCCCCCATATTGCGCTCGAGAGCCTTCGAATGGGCTCGAGTGGGTTGAACGGCACGCGAACAGAGAAATACGCGAACAGTCTTTAACTGATACTGATTTTAGTCGTAGTCGTAGTAGTAGTAGTAGTAGTAGTAGTAGTAGTAGTAGTAGTAGTAGTAGTAGTAGTAGTAGTAGTAGTAGTAGTAGTAGTAGTAGTAGTAGTAGTAGTAGTAGTAGTAGTAGTAGTAGTAGTAGTAGTAGTAGTAGTAGTAGTAGTAGTAGTAGTAGTAGTAGTAGTAGTAGTAGTAGTAGTAGTAGTAGTAGTAGTAGTAGTAGTAGTAGTAGTAGTAGTGTATAGTAGTCGTAGTTAGTTAGTAGTAGTAGTAGTAGTAGTAGTAGTAGTCGTAGTAGTAGTATAGTTGTAGTAGTAGTAGTCGTAGTAGTAGTCGTAGTAGTAGTAGTCGTAGGTAGTAGTATAGTAGTAGTAGTAGTAGTTAGTAGTAGTAGTAGTAGTAGTTAGTAGTAGTAGTAGTAGTAGTAGTAGTAGTAGTAGGTAGTTCAGTAGTCGTAGTTCGTAGTTCGTAGTTCGTAGTTCGTAGTTCGTAGTTCGTAGTTGTAGTTCGTAGTAGTCGTAGTAGTAGTAGTTAGTAGTAGTAGTAGTAGTAGTAGTAGTAGTAGTAGTAGTAGTCGTAGTAGTAGTAGTAGTAGTAGTAGTAGTAGGTAGTAGTAGTAGTAGTAGTAGTAGTAGTAGCAGTAGTAGTAGCAGTCGTAGTCGTAGTCGTAGTAGTAGTAGTAGTAGTAGTAGTAGTAGTAGTAGTAGTAGTAGTAGTAGTAGTAGTAGTAGTAGTAGTAGTAGTAGTAGTAATAATAGTAGTAGTGGCAGTGGCAGTGGTTGTAGTGGTAGGAATAATAATAGTCGTCGGAACAGGCGCCGCGCAGGAAGTTCAAGCATGGCGTGCAGGCGCTCCTTAAAAGGAGCGGCCGGCGGCCATGGCCGCAGCGACGGCCCCCGGACGGACCTGGAACCGTCTGTGCGACCGCAGCCAGCGGCCAGGCGGAGCCCTTAAAAAGTGCTCTCCGCCCCCCGTGCTGCTCGGCAGCCCCTGCGGGCGCCGCCGGCTGCCGCCGCGCGGAGCGACAGCAACCTGTGACCTCCGCGGGAGGCTCTCCGAGCAAAGTGTGTTGCGGCGGTGAGGGAGGTGGAGGCCGTCGCAGCTGCGGCGATGATCCCAGTACTCACTAAACACCTGCTTCCGTCTTTCTAGTGCTCCGTGCTCCCTCGCGCTCTCTCGATGCCTGCTGCTTTTCCTCTCCCGCAGGCGCCGCGCAGGAAGTTCAGGCACGGCGCGCAGGCGCTCCTTAGAAGGAGCGGGCGGCGGCCATGGCCGCAGCGACGGCCTTTGGACGGACGGAGAGCCGTCTGCGCGACCGCAGCCAGCGGCCATGCGGAGCCCTTAAGAGGTGCTCTCCGCCCCCCGCGCTGCCCAGCAGCCCCTGCGGGTGCCGCCGGCCGCCGCCGCGCGGAGCGACAGCAACCTGTGACCCCCCTGCGGGGGGCTTTCCACAACTCCCCTTCTGGCGAAGCCGCAGAAAAGCGAAGCGTTAGAGATCGGGATGCCGTGGCCGAAGGGTGACGGCCAGCTGGTGGAGAAACTGCTTGACGTGTGGTGGAAGCACTAGTTGGCTCAAGGTTGCCACTCCGTCTTGCAGGTGAATTCGCGCGGTGCGCGAGCGCCTCCAGCGCCCCTTGATCATCGGCCCCCCAAGGTTCTTGGACTTTTTGAATGCGTGGGTGGCGCCGCCGCTGCGTGCTGAGTGCCGGCGGAAACCGTGAGTGATGTGCAAATCCTGGCAGCGCGTAGCCAACCGGCGCCTGTGAACCTCCCCGCTGGCGGCCGAGAAAAGCTGATCCGGCGCCGCGCCCTCGATAAACGAAGCAACCGTGCGGGCGACCCGCGGATCATCGAGGCCGATGTTTTCCGTAGCTCCTTGCCTCTCTCCCGACTTGCTGCGGGGGAGGGTTCCAAATCCCTTGTCCAGACGCGGTGCTCACTGTGAAGTCGCGGGCGCGCGCGTTGAAGAGCTCCGCGGGGCGTGCGAAGGTGTCGAACCCCACCGCCAGGAAAAAGCGCCGTGTCTCCCCACCCCTCGTTGAAAGCTGCTTGCGTTAAGGCGTGCGTGAACAGCGGGGTGAGCGGAGGGGCGCGCGCTGGAAGTTCCGCGCGCCCCCGAGCCCCGTGGGGCCTCCCTGCCCCGACCATGTGTCGGCGCACTGCCGGCAGGAAGTGGCCGAGGTCGCTGAGCATGTCCCCGGCCATGGACTTGGACTCCCCGAGCTCCCAGAGCAGCTCTATGTAAAACTCCAGGCTCTGATCCAGCAAGGTTAGCGATGAAGGTGGCGTGCATTCGGATTCTCTGAGGAAGTGTACATGCGCCCGCGCTGCGAGCTTGCATCGGTCAAGGGTCTTAGGTGAAATAATTTGGTCCCGTAATCGTCCCTTTCGTTGCCTCTCCGCTATCCGCTGCCCTCGGCTGCGGCGCCGCGCGCCGCGCAGAGGATGCTTCGTCGTAGTTTTGCTCGCCGCCGGCTGGGCCCATCGGCGGGGTTCAGGTCGGTCGGGGCCCAGCCGTAGAAGCCCTGGAAGTTGGCGAACCTGCAGAGGGCACCTAGCCGGAGGAGGACAGCATTGAGTTGACGGGGCGAGGGGCGGCCCTTGGCCAGCGTGCCAATGGCCACTCGATAATCCAAAAGGATGAGTGCACGTGGATTATGATGTTTACTATGCTTGAGCGCATGCCACGCCCAGTCGAACACCGCCGTGGCCTCTGAGACGTTGATGTGCTGCAAGTTTTTGAATTTGTAAGAGAGGGCGACGCGCCAAGTCCATATGCCGGAGTCGATGGGGCCCCGGGGCCGCGCCGACAAACGGCGCGGCATGCCCGCGTCCAGGCGCGCGTCGGTGCCATTCTGCTTCGCCGCACGCAGGTACTCTTGCACAAGCTCCGCGCCAGGCTCAAGACGAGCATCAGTGTGGGCGTGTGGCGGTGGGCACGGTGGTGCTGCAGGGGCGCCCCCGTAGCGCGCCGTCCAACCAAGTCCGGTTTGCTCGCGGTGCGCCCCCTGGATATCCGCCCATGCACGCCGCAGCGTTCCGAAGGTGGTCGGCCCTGCTAGGCTGGCAGCCTGCCCCGAGACGAAGGGCGCCAGGAGTCGTGCGACAACGACTGCGGGGAGAGCGCTGCCAATGTGGCCGCCCTTGCAGTCCTCGACCTGGTCCTTTTTAGCGGATTTCTCGCGCGGCTTCAAATGCTGAGGAGGAATCCCAAGATCGAAGATTGCTCGTCTGCGCGGAGCCGCCGCGGCCCGCCCGGGGCCTGGACGAGGTTCGCGTCCTCGTGCGTGCAGGGCGGCAACCCGTATGCGTCCGCCCCCCACCGTCGCTGGGCCTTCTCCGAGCACGCATCGAGACCTGCAAGGCGCTCGGGGGGTCGCAGCCGCTTGACGGGCTGGTGGAACGTGAAGAATGGGTCCTGCGCGTCCGCAAGCTTAAGCTGACGCTGGCCCCCGCGAACGCCTCCAGGGGGGGCTGCCGAGCGGCGACGCCCTCAAGAACCTGCGGGCCTGCCGCCAGACCTCGGCAGCCAGGTCGAAGACGGCCCAGCCCGGGTCTTCCCGGAGCCACGACGCAAGGCGCAGAGAAGCCTCGAGAGCTGCGGCCTGATGCGCAGGCCGATCCAGGCCAGAATCTCCGCCGCTGCCCTGGTCGCCGAGGCGGGGAACGCCGGCGATGTGGACCAAGTCCGGACGTCCTCCTTCTTGATTTCCTGGTGGGGCGAATAAAAGTGGGCACCCGGACAGCGCCCGCGAACGACGGCTCGAGATATGCGGGGGGTCTCGACGGCAATGACACCGCAAGGCACGACCCGAAGTAACTCCATGGCCACGCGCGCGGCGCCCATGCCATCAAAGTCCAAGACGAGAAGCACATCTGAACGGGCAGGGCCTGCGCCCTCCCGAAGTGTCTGGAGGCGCCGCGCGCCCTTCGGTGACAGCCTGGTGGAGACGCAGGCCCCCCCGCCGGCGCG